TACAGTTTCGACCTCGCATTGGTCTTATCAACACCCTCAGCGGGACTCGAACCGCGACTGTGCAGGATGCGAGCTTGGCCAAGTGAAGTCGATTATTTGACCAAATGTGTGCAAACAGTTGTGGTATCTCTCCTGCGGTCTTAGTCTATCTCATATTGCTGATTTACTGTTAGTCTCAAAACTCTACTCCAATACGAAAATATGTCTACAAGTTGTTTGACCTTGTTAGAGGGACCTTTATTTCGAATGAAAGAGCACGAAGAAGAGATTCGTTGGTCGTTTGACCTTGTTCTCGTAAGTGGACTAGCTGCATTCCCCTAAGTCTTCCTACCAATGTGACCAATTTGACCAAGTTGCGAAATCAAGGTCAAACAACCTCTATTTCGTCTATCAATAATAAGAATAGTGAAGATTAGCCAAACAACATTCGTAGTCCGAGTATGAATAGATATTAAGATTATGCTTACGATGAGAGAGGCAGTGATTGCGAGGGTGGCGATTGTGCTTAAGAGGATACCGGTTGTCGTGGGGGTGATATTGGTGTTGGCGTTGGTGGCGATGATGATAAGAATAAGCCTCATCCTTTGTAGCCATATCGTCAAGTTTGTGGTGGTAGTGAGGAGAATGATAGTGTTGACGAATAGAATCAAACTGGTTTTGGTAGGGAGGGTGGTGACGACAATGTTGTCAAAGAAAGACTGGGTTTCGAAGGCTCTCCGAACCCAAAGGGAAGTTATGCTTTGATTGGTTCTGACAAGACTGCTTGCGTCTCGCGTGAAAGCTGGCGATGAACCGATTGGAGAAGGAGAATCCCAGCAGAAAACTCTTAACTTTACTGCAACCTTCTGGCTGGCATTACTCACGAGAATGTCGCTTTCCGTTCCGAAGGGAAGGTGATGATTTCTCATCTGACATACCGTCCGTCTGTCAGGCATCATCAGAGCCCAATGCCATCCATCAGTGCAACCGTCTCTTCTAATTGCTTTGACCTATCATCTTCAAACACACACACACACACAGAGAGAGAGAGAGAAGAAGATCTGCGTACACGTTATGAGGTTGGCATAAAATATTAACTAATCAAATCACTCTACAGCTCCCAAAAGTCTACAGGGTTAGATAAGCTAATGTGCATTCTTGACTTGCCGGCTGACATGAGCTAAAAGAATGGTACCTTGTTCTGGCGCTGCCTGTCGACTGGCACAAGAAAGGAGGATGCTTTGCACACATTCACTAAAAGTAGAAGTGGGCTCGACCATGTTACTTATTATCTACATTATCTTCAACCACATAATCTACTCCATTATCCTCCTTTGCATCATCATCATCATCATCTTTAGCCTCAGCCTCAGCGTACTCATTCCGATCATCAGTTATCATTATTATCATCATCATCATTATTCTAATAGTGATGATTGTCTTTATCCTCATTATCATTACTACCATCAAGCTAACCAGCGAAATAAAAATGTTGCATATATCTTGTCAACACATCTTTTGGTATGAAGACCAAGATTGTGTGGCCTTTCGTGCGGTCGCAGTCTCCTTTCGTTGTTTTGCTAAGTTGTTCGACCTTGTTTTCGCAAAATGGTCATATTGGTAGGAAGACAAGATGCGTTGCTCTAAGTCTTCCTACCAATATGACCATGTTGCGAAAACAAGGTCAAACAAAACATCTTTTATTTGTGAATACTATTCCATTAGAGATGTCCATGATGCTAATACTGATGACGATAACGATGAAAATGATGAAATTGGCACAATTTCGTGTTTTTGGCGAAGAAAAGTTGGGTTTCGAGCAATCTCTTCTTTCACAATTGTTGAGCTTACTTCCATTTCGAGTGAAAGTGTTGGGCGTGAAGAGATTCAAAGGTCGGTTCCACCAGAAGGCGACGGCCGATTCCTCTTGACCAGCTGTCGATTGGCTTTACTGCTTCTCATCATAGTCACTTTTCTGCACTTTTTGCTCACTCTTTCTCTCTCGCATTGAGACCAAAACAAAACCAGACGAGTGTCCGATCTTGCGCAATCGGAGTGACGGTTATAACATGTTTGTAGAAAGGGGGAGCTAGGCGTCATCAAACCTTGATGGCCAAAAACAGACCATAAGCAAACACAAACAGGCACATACACGTACAGAGACAGACACACTCACATGCATAGAAGTTGACAAATGACTGTAACTAACCAAATCACTTTATGCTTGATCAAAGAGGCCAGATGTAGAGTGTATATACCACATTTTAGGGATTTGCCGGGGAGTTTTCTTGACTCGTTAGCTCGAATTTTGTTGTGACGATGACAGCTCGCTCTGATGATGTCCGTCATGTGACGGACGAAAGCTTAGCACCTTTTCACCTAAATCGAATGAGATTGCCTCGGCAACAGCGTCAGCAAGAATGTTCCAATCGACAGCTGGTCAAGAGGAATCGGCCGTCGTCTTCTGGTGGAACCGACCTTCGAATCTCTTCATCCCCAACACTTTCACTTGAAACGGAAGTAAGCTCAACAATTCGTGTCTCTTGTCTGCAGGAGCATACGGCCCCTCCTCCTCGGCTTCCTCGCCTCGCGGGTGTCAACACGAGCCGTTTCAGTTGATCGGGACTCCGAGAAACGCATCCTCCAACAGCATTCCATCCAAAAGACCACAAGTTCGAGCCACTTTACGCCAGCCCCGGGTCACGTCAGGCTCCG